GGGGGAGAGGAGGGGGCAAAGGGTGGTGCGGGGAGCACAGGGCTCTCGGGGTGCAGGCTCTGGGGGCTGAGGCCCTTCTGCACGGCCCCGGCACCAGTGTGCCCACCCCCCTTGGTTCTGTCACCTGCTGCACTGGTGACAGGGCCGACCCAGCCCCAGGCCCCGGGCTCCATGGCCAGGCCGGGTGACCTCCCGCTCCTCCGTGGAGCACCTGCGGCCTCCCGGGCCCCCGGGTCCCCGACCACGCTCAGCCCGGGCCGGTGCTCTCCTCCCGGCAGCCCCCACGGTGCTGGTGGACGTGCAGGAGTCGGAGCCGGTGATGCAGGAGGAGATCTTCGGGCCCATCCTGCCCGTCGTGAACGTGCAGGGCCTGGCCGAGGCCGTGGACTTCATCACCCGCCGTGAGAAGCCCCTGGCGCTGTACGCCTTCTCCAACAACAGCCAGGTGCGGCCGGGGTGACAGGGGCAGAGGGGGTGCCACAGCCCACCCTGGGAGGCCATGACCATAGCCCCGGCCACCCGGTCCAAGCCTGCCCTGCAGAGGCACAGAGGAGTCTCATTTTGCCCCCACGTACTCCAGGTGTGGCCTCCCAGCTATCTGCCCTGGCCAGAAGAAGAGGTGTCCCTTCTGATAGGCCTGCCCAGAGAGGCCCCTTTTCCTAGATCATGCAAAAGTTCTCTACAGGGAGCAGCGGCTGTGTGGGGCGGAGGAGGCTGCGTGGACGCGCCTTGCTGGGTGCTGGCTAGCCTTCTTGCTGCGTCCTGCGGTCACAGTCATGGTCACGGTCACAGGCCTGCCCTCTAGGCCACAGGGCTTCCTTCATCTTTGTACGAAGGTCTCAGTATCCACCAGGGTGCCTCCGACACGTCTACGAAGGCATTATCTTTGTTTAAAAAAAAAATTAATTTCATTTTTGTTGTTGAAAATATGTATCGCAGAATGTACACCAGTTCAACAATCCGTCCGCTCACGATTCAACAACATTCCAGAACAACTGTTCTCACCCTTCCTTTTTGAGTCGTTCCCCACCCCCCCATGGACAGAAACTCACTGCCTCCACACTTCTGCTCTCATCTTCCACTTTTCCTGGTCAAGCTGGTTCCATATACATAGATCTTAAAACGACATAAGACTCAAGCGAAGGCACCTTTTTTTTTTTTTTTGTAAATTTGTATTGTGATGGGGCTGAAAGTTTACAGAGGAAATTCATTTTCCATACAGCAGTTCATACACATTTTGTTTCATACCATTGACTGCAACTCCCCACAAGGCAACAGCTCTCTTCCCATTTCCTCCCCCTTAGTTACCTCTCCCCTGTCCTTCCCTTCCCCTGCACTCCTGCCTCCTCCCCCAGCTGTCTCCCTGTGCAAACACTCCCTTCAGCTTTCCTACTGAAGGCATTATCTTGCAAAAAGTGCTTAGAGGGGAGAGGGCTGCTCAGTAGGGATGGGGTGGGGGATGTTGATGACCAGCCCTCCCACCTCCCCTAGGGGAGGGAGGGGGCCCTCCTTCTGGACCCTGCCACCCCGCCTCCCCCCAGGTGGTGAATCACCTGCTGGAGCAGACCAGCAGTGGCAGCTTCGGGGGCAATGATGGCTTTGTCTACCAGACTCTGTCATCCCTGCCGTTTGGGGGAGTCGGTGAGTCCCTGCACCCCACTCCAGCCAGCCCCTACTCCCCCCCCCCAGCTTCGGTGTGGCACCTTTGGCCCAGAAGTCCCCTTTTCCGTCCACATACTGTTCTAGATCTTGGACTAGAACCTGGTGTAGACTCTGGGCTCTTAAGGCCTTCAGCTTCCCTCCCTGAAAACGGCTCTCAGAATGACTGGCTCCTTCCAAGGTCTCTGCCACCTGGGGGCTTCTGGCCTGGGCTAGGGGCCGCTATGAGGCTGGCATGGCGGCTGGGTGGGCTGCCAACTCCGGTGTCCACGCAGGTCACAGCGGGATGGGCAACTACCACGGCAAGTTCTCCTTCGACACCTTCTCCCACCACCGCGCCTGCCTGCTCTCACACCCGGGCCTGGAGAAGCTCCATGAAGTGCGCTACCCACCCTACTCTGACCACAGGCGGCAGCTCATCACCTGGGCCCTGGACTCCCAGAGCTGCACCCTGCTGTGAGCCCCTGCCGCCTCCAGCACCGCGCCCCAGGCACCCTGCTGTGAGCCCCTGCCACATCTCCTGTGCTGAGCAAGGACTCCCTTGTGTCGTTCCTCCCAAAGGCAGAGCTATTTCTACCTCACAGCTCCCTTCACACCTAGTCGGGGGAACTGGGGATGTCTTCCCTGAAATGATCTGATCTCGGACCCGACTCATAGCAACCCCTCCTTGGGTTTCCCAGGCGGTATCACTACGGAAGTAGATTGCCCCATCTTCCTTCTGAGGAGTGGCTGGTGGTTTTGAACCGCCAGCCTTCTGGTTAGCAGTCAAATAAATGCCTTAGGCACTCTGTCATCAGAGCTCCCGATCTTAAACCTAGATCTAGCCAATTGGTGTGTCTCCCTCAAGTGTTTCACTGACAGAGATTCTCATGCTGTGTGTGGAATCTATAGGAAGGAGTGCAGTGATTGATTGGTAATGTCTGCTACGAGCACGTGAGGCGTGTGTGAATGTGTCAACCACGTCTGTCATCCCTGCTCTAGATCCCCAGGCGGACGTCAGACCTGACAGGCTCTAAGTCTGGCCTCCTCATTTGACAAATGGGGAACCTGGAGTCTAGAAACAGGATTGGACTAAACTCAGTGCATACAGCAAAGCAAGGGCAGAGTTGCTGAGGGACGGTGGTCTTTACTGAAGTGGGGGATAGGGGATCAGAAGACAGTATGGCTGGTTCATGGTGATCAGCTTCTCTCCTGAGACCTCACCCTGAGATCCTGCCCCCACTCCAACTCTTGCTTCAGTGGGTTGCTCAACACTCAGAGCCGTGAGGGAACTGGGCAAGTGGTCTGCGGTTGAGGGGGAGTGAGAAGTATGGGGACTGCTGGAGATGTGTGATTCCAAAGGGTGCAAGGTGGACTCAAAGGGGATGCTTAACAGGCTTGTTGACGAGTGAAGGAAAGAAATGAATGAGAGGATGGATGGATGGATGGATGGACAGGTATATATATGAGTGGATGGGTGGATGGGTGGGTATGTGGGTGAGTGGATGGATGGATGGGCTTGTTGATGAGTGAAGGAAAGAAATGAATGAGTGAGAGGATGGATGGATGGACGGATGGACAGATGGACAGGTATATGTATGAATGGATGGATGGATGGGCAAATGGGTGGGTATGTGGGTGAGTGGATGGATAGATCGGTGGATGGATTGATGGATGAGAGCATGGGGGGGCAGGTACATGGGTAGGTGGGTGGGTGGGTGTGGTAGTTAAGGTTATGTGTCAACTTGGCTGGGCCAGGTTTTGAGTGGCTGGGCAGCTGGATACAGTTATTCCCCGTGATGAAACTGGTAATCAGCTCCCTGGGGAATCTACTGTGAGCAGCTGAGTGTCTGCCTTAGAGATGTGGTCTGCTCCCCATATATAAGAAGACACTTTGAGAAAGGTCTCACGCTTCCCGGCACATTTGGATCGTGCATTTGGCTGAGTCATCGGTGAGTGGCCTGCCATGTTGTCTGCTGATACTGGGACTGTTTCTGGACTCGCACTAGTGGCCTGCTGTGCTGCTTGATATTCTTGGGACTGTGCCATTTTAGGAGCTCTGGTGCCATAGTGCCTAAGGCACCTGACTGCTAACCAGAAGGCTGGCGGTTCAAACCCACCAGCCACTCCTCGGAAGGAAGGTTGGGCAATCTACTTCCATAGAGATACCACCTCAGAAACCCAAGGAGGGGCTGCTATGAGTTGGAACTGACTCGACACTCGACAGCCATGACTTTTTTTTTTTTTTTGGTTTGATGCCATTTTACTTGTCGACCTTGGGTTTGTCAGCCTCAGCACCCAGCAGTTGCCTGAGTTAAGAGAAGCTTCCAGCTTCAGTGGGCCAGGAACAGAAGGCAGAGCTGAAGCCCAAAGTCAAGGGGCCTTCACCAGCCCCTAGAGCTGGTACTTTGAACTCAGACTTCTAGCCTCCTGAACTGTAAGAGAATAAATCCTGGTTTGTTAAAGCCTTCCGCTTATGGGATGTCTGTTACAGCAGCAACAGAGAACCCAAACAGTGGGTGAATGTAGGAGTGAGGAAATGGAGTTGGGTGGACGGGTGGGTAGGTGGCCTAGGTAGATTCTGAGTGATCAGTGGGCCTGTGTCTAAGGGACCCTCTCTCTCCCTACCCCTGCCCTGGGTTATCCTCAAGATAACCACTGAACTCAAAAGAGAGATGGAGGGATTGAGAAAGAATCCGAGGATCTCTAGGCCACAGTCTGGTCAGTGGGCCCAGTGAGCCAGGAACAGAGATGCAGTTCATTGGAGACACTTGAGGTGCTTAACTGCCCTTTCATACCCAATCTCGTTCCCGTGGCCCTCTTAGCCACCAGCAATTTGTTCAGATAGGCGACAAAGTTTCCAAGGAAAACGTGGATCCTGAAGACCACTCAGAGTAGGGGCAGTCCCACAACAGCCCCTTGACAGTGTCTGAGTCAAAACGGCCCTTCCTCCACTCTCAATTGGATACCATATGTCTCCCTCTTCTCCTGCTGTGAGACCGTTGGTTCCGGGGTCAAGGGCACAGGGTCTCAGCTCAGGAAGACTTGGGTTTGCACCTTGGCTCTGCCATATACAGGCTGTGTTAGGCTGTATTAGAGAGGGCAAGGTGCTAGTCCTCTCTGAGCCTCAGCTGTGGATAAGGACTGTTGATAGTACCAACTCCACAGGGCACTGGTGAGGATGAGATGAGATGGTGCCCGTGTCGGTTGATTCTTCACCACCCCTACAAGTAATGGATGTTTTCTTTGCCAGAGTCCACCCCTTTCCAGGAGCGTTCCATCCTTGCCTGGTGGGGTCTGCATCTTCGAGATGCAGGCTCAGTTTCTGGAGACCAGAGAGGCTGAGCTGGTCCACACAATAGTGACCAAGTGGGGGATGGAGGAGTGGGAGCAAGGGAGTTGTGGAGGGCTGGCCGCAAAGATGGGAATCATCTTCAGTGACCCCTGGCTGCTGTTCTGGTAGTCACGGGTCACTTAACGACCACCACCACAACAACAACAACAACAAAAAAAAAACCCTCACTGCCGTCGAGTCGATCTCGACTCCTTGGGCTTCTGAGGCCGTATCTCTACAAAAGTAGCTTGCCCAGTCTTCCTTCTGAGGAGTGGCTGGTGGGTTTGAACCACCAGCCCATAGGACGTCACATGATTCGGACATCGTGCAAACACTAAACCATGAGCAAGAGCACCCACTGCTTTTCCACCCTCATGGAAAAGAAATTGTTTAATAACCTTCCATTTTATTTCCAACTCGATGCTTCTCCTCTGCCTCTCACTGCTGCCGTCACTAGCGCCGTTTTCCTGTGTTTGGGAGCCATGATGCACTTCACGGTAATATTTTCTAAAGAAAATTAAACAGAGAGGTAACGCTATGACACTCGTGACGTGTACAATACATGAGATTAGATGCTGCTGGTGCGAGTCAAACCATAGGTGGTTACATGGTAAATTTTTTATATGTAAGTAGGGAGAGTTCATTAAAATAATGGTAGGAAGTACAGTCCATACGTACCTCAGGGACACGGGTGTTTATTGTGACTATCAAGACATGCATTATAAGTTATGTAGGTACCGTGCCATTGTATGCCTGGAAGCACAACAGCTTTGTGTACAAGAGACATGAGTTACGCGTGTTGTGTGTGGAAAGTTGCAGTGTTAGCTACATCAGGTCATGGCTGCTGTGTCCCGTTTTCTGACTGAGATGTCTGAGGTGTATTATAACCTATGGGACCATGGACGTATATGTGTTAGAACATTAGTGAATGGATATTACACAGCACATGGCTTACCTTGATATGTGGGTCCATGCAGAGAACAGCCACACACACAGCTCCTGGATGAAGTAGGGTTGGATCATCTCCCCATATCCTTGCTCCTTTCTGTGGCCGTGTATGTTTGGTGCCATCTCTTCAACCCCTTTCCAGATGCCCTTCTGGGATGAACCTGCTGCCTGTCCCTCTGTCTACACCAGGCCAAGTTTTATGAAATGGTCAACTCTTCACACAGTACTGAACAAAAAGGCTCTCAGTGGGGGCTGTGGGAACACCATGGTCCCACGGTCTGTGTAGTGGGTGTTATTAGTCAAGTTGACAGTAGAGAAACTGAGGCTCAGGAAGATTGGGAGGACTGGCCCTATGGCTCCCAGTCTGTGACGCAGAAGGAATTCAAACCTGGGTCTGTCTGCTCCAAAACCCATAGGCAGGGCAGGACATTTGTCCCTGGGGCCCAGAGAGTGCAGGAAACTTCCCAGGCTCACACACAGAAATCTTGGGCCCTGACTTCTCGAATCTTGTCAAAAGATGGGGTCTGCACCCTGATTGCCTCCTCACACAGCTTCCAGCCGTTCAGAGACTCTAACGGTGCCTGATTGGTAGAACCTAGTCACATGACTGCAAGGGAAGCTAGAAAGCTGGTTCTCCCTTCCACCCTGGGGAGTCTGTGCCGAGAGGCCAAAAAACCAGAAGCCAAACCAAACCTGTTGCCATCAAGTTGATTCCAACTCAGTGACCCTAAAGGAGGGAGTAGAATTGCCCCAGAGCATTTCCAAAGCTGTCATCTGTATGGAAGCAGACTGCCACATCTTTTTCCTGTGGAGCAGATGGTGTATTCAAAACCACCGACCTCCCAGCAGCCGAGTGATTAACCACTGCACCACCAGAGCGCCACAGAGAAGGCAAGAGGCTACTAAACGTGACAAGTATCCCCAGTCACCCCGCTCAACCCAGTGATATCGTGCCCTCTCCTCTCTTGACCAGCCCCTGCAGGGAAAAACACCATCAAGACAAGGAACAAAGACGGTCCTGCCTTTAGGACAGGCAACCCCAGGCCGTTTAGAGACCCTGAGCCCCACAGGCCTCGCTCCTAGTGCCTCTCCTCCACCTCCACCCGCCCCCCACCCCGTCCGCTCAGGCATTGCCTTCTCCAGGGGCCCACCTCCACGCTGGGTCCTCTGCCCTCGCCTGGCTCAAGCAGCCCCCGACA